TGCGTGCTTAGATAGGGTGTATTTTCCTTGAAACTTTATCATCAACATAATAAATTTCAGTACTTGCAGATGTCCATGCCCCCAGCAGTGCCATGCCGCACCTCACTTGCGCTACTTGAAGAAACTGGGATATTTTTTGACATACCCCGCTTCGGGCTCGAAATAAGTGGGAGGGCTGGGTGGAAATATGACTTGAGGCAGGATCCTAAAAGTTCCTGCTTGAGGTCCTGACTTATGGATCCCGCTCACGGCACAACATTATACATGAGGTAGCAAGTTTATGACATTCCTTCTCCTCCCTCCATTCTTTGTTGAACTTGTAAATCAATATTATCTGTGTGGGGGGATATCTAAAAATTGAGGTATACCCGGTGATGTCGTCCAGCATGTCATAACATCTGCCCGTCGATACTTTTTTTTTTCTTCTAATCACCACTTTGATCGAAAAAATAGATTGATAGTGCAAGGGGAAATTCGCCACCGGTCACTCTAGTTTGAAAGACAATGCCATGCCTACCTTAACCTATCAGCTTAGTTAATTTTAATGTATTTATAACGATTACTCAACTCACAAACTTACAGGACAAAGTGCTGCTTGAAGTATCCTCTTAAAACCACCAGATCACACTCAACACCGGATCAATTTCCACGGCAAACGAAAGTAGTTTCACTTAGTGTTATGGAATGGAGCTTCGAATAGCCGACAATAACGTCAACAACGTTTGCTACTTAGTACTCGCGATCGAGTCCTAACTTGCAGTTACGAATTATTTTATTATATTCGGGAAAGTTTGCGTGGTAGTTGCGTGGTACAAACAAGTCATTGATAGAATGCTCAAGAAAACTCGATAAACAATACAGAATTTTTGAAATTCTAATGAAGCGCCATTAGCAAGAGCGAATATTGATCAAATATTGAGTAGATATCATGAATATATGAAGTTCATATATTTTGAACTGCGGTTATAGATAGTATGATGCACGATCCTCGTAGTAGAGAACGCTATTTATGCAATAGCGAAAATCAAACCTGAAAAAAAAAATCAGGCCTGTACGGGATTCGAACCACTGACCTCTGCGATACTAGTGCAGCACTCTACCAATTGAGCTAACAAGCCAACTGGGAATAGGCCGTTAAGTTGATTCGTAATATACCCGTGATGATAAATCAGATATGATGAAATATATGAAGTTCATATATTTTGAACTGCGGTTATAGATACGTATGATGCACGATCCTCGCAGTAGAGAGCGCTATTTATACAATAGCATCATTCATATCTAATACCGCAGTTCAACATATATAAACTGCATACATTCATCATATCTGATTTATCATCACGGGTTTATTACGAATCAACTCAACGGCCTGCTCCCAGTTGGCTTGTTAGCTCAATTGGTAGAGTGCTGCACTAGTATCGCAGAGGTCAGTGGTTCGAATCCCGTACAG